ATAGGCTAAAAAGCTTATCTTAAGTAATTATATTAAGTAGCTAGTATATTACCTAAACTAATTTAATAGAAGTATTATTTTAAGTTAATAAAAACTGCTACTAATACTTATAGCACGTACCTTATATATAAAGATCTTACACTTAGACAGAAGACATGTTCTGCAATCTTTAGCGAAATACAGGGTCCTTACAATCCGAAACTTAAAACTCTGACTAATAATTTATAATTATGTCCTTGCCGGTTCGGATACCGATTTTCACTGCTAAAGTTTCTGTGCTGCTTCAAGCTCATCTGGCTCATAAGTTGATGTTTTTCTCTGTGCCAGTCTCGGAGTAACCATGCATTATCCTAAGCAAAATGTAGCATAAAAGAAACCTGCTCTATTTCAAGTCAAATATCTACCCTATCTCGCACTCTTTATATCGCCTTGGTTTGTCTTTCTACCACTAAAAGATGCTCTTCAGAAACTCGAGCTGCATATCAACCACTTCCTGAAACCTCTTGCCATAGTACAGGTCGAAATGGCCAGTTCCCTTCACAATCTTGAGGGTCTTGGGCTGCAGTGCCTTCTCAAAAGCCTCTAGCTGCAAATGCGTGTAAGTACACACATCATCATCCGCCACAATCATGAGCAGCGGCGTTGGGGAGATATGATGGATAACCCCCGTTTGTCTCGTGCATGATCGTGTTAGTTAGACTCTGAAGAGTCGCTGTCTTGTCATAGCTGTAGCCTCGCCGGGTCATTTCCTCTGCGAACCCAACCGCTCCAGCATCTTTGAGAATAGCCTTAGTGGTACCATCTCGAACCTCCTCGACAGAATTGGGATAGATCGGGATCTGGATCTCTGAGTTGAGGGTGCGATGAGAGACTAGAAGAGATTTGGGAGCTCCGGTGATGCGAGCCATGGAACCGCCGGATACGAAGGGGACTTGTGAAATAATGCCTGCTAAGCTCTTATTCATGGCAGCAGCGCAAATGGCGTTGCCTCCGGACAAGCTCGATCCCCAGTAGACAATCTTTGTGGGGTCAACCTCTGGAAGCGCTGCAGCGAAGTTGAAGATATCGAGATAATCTCGTGTCTGCTTTACAGGATCGGCTTCACAGCGAAGAAGGCCTTCACTATCGCCCCAGCATCGATTGTCATAAACCAATGCTCCATAGCCAGCTTCGTTGAACTTGGCAGCGAGCTCGGGTAAGAAATGGTCACGATGGCCAGAGAACTATAACTTCGAGTTAGGATCTATCTCATGTTTCATCAACGTAAGTTGACTCACTGCATGGCTCATGACAATGCAAGGCTTATTGGGCCCAGCGCTGTAAAAAGTTCCCTTCAACTTCAATCCATCATAAGTGAGAATATCGACATCTCGAACGGCAGCCATTTCGAAAGATTGCTGAAGATACTCGATGAGAAATGTTAAGGCAGAATAGGTGCAGCAAAAGTTAAAGATTGTAGGGTGATAGATCCCCGAAGACTATTATCTTGAATTTATATAATATTCTTCAAGGCATTAGGCCAATATTATAGTTCCAGGAATTCCGGCACTGGACTTCCAAACGACCTCGATTCATATCCACTATAGTTGCTGCCCGAGACCCTCGGCCGCTAGTAGGATATCCATCCACCACGGACCAGTAGTTATCTCTTTGGTTCCCTCGGCAGACCCGAGGCCCCACACCAATAGATCATATCTAGAACCAGAGGAAAAACATACCTATAACGGCAAAGTCCAACATATCAGAAACCCAAGACGCATCCAGATCTTAGCAAGTCAAATGTTAACTGCCATAGTGCTAGTACGAACTCATAGTTATTCGACTCGCTTTACTATTGCATGATTAGCAAAGCTTGTAAATCAAAGGGCGATAGTTGGTGGGACAGGAATGGGCGTCATGGTGGTCCTTAAGATGGCGGAAGAGGCGACAGCTATGGTTTGTCGGATTCGCAGTATAGTTCTAAGCTACTAATTACTTTGCTCATAGAATTATCATTAAAAAATTATCTGTTCTCATTATTATAAAAACTGTATTTTTAACTACTAGCTTCTATAGAGAATCCTGACTCTGGATAAACTGTACCCATCGTTGGCGGTATTAGGCCTTGAAAGTCAAGCTCCAGACTCCAAGGCACTGAAATACTGTAATCTTGTTGACAGCCTATCTGAAACTGATCCCATGTAAGTGCTGTCATGTCTGTCATTGCGTTGCAGATTTGGGCCGTGTTCTCAACATAGAATGTGTCAGGCACGAATCCCGAGAGAAAAGTTCCATCGGATAGTAGGCTACTATAACCAATTTTCGGTTGGGGATCACCGAGGTCGGGAGGTGGAGGATATTCGTGCACATTAGGATGCCCTTCAGGGAAGCCTATGACTACCGGAGTATGTGCTTCGCAATAAGGCAGTGTTTCGTCACAATTTGGAAGATCTTGGGGTGTTTGAGTGTTATCTCTGGCTTCTGTAAGCGGGTTTCCATTGCTGGGGCTGTAAGCGGGACCTGAAGCGTCGGCACATCCAAGGTCGATAAAGACTTCGCCCTTCAGAGCGGAGCCATTGCTATATCGTGACGGCTTCTCCTCTCTGCTGAGACCTGAGATCTTTTCAATCATTGTCAGCACTGTTCTTCCCACCACCCAAACTTGTGCCAGATCTTTGATGGCTCCCAAGCAGGTGCTGAGTCGTCGGTTGGCGAGTCTACTGATAGACGGAGATGGCGTGTTTGACACGTGTAAGTGTATAACAATTGCTGAAAAGAGGCTGTGGACGATAAATGGAGGACAGCGACGTAGTTGTTGTTTGTCGCTGAGGGCTTCGATAATCGAGGTTATCATGTTGGCCGCGCGAACAGTTCCATCTGGTGATCCATAAGATTGTTTTGTGTCTTGCAAAGTCCTTCTGTTCCGAGGGGAGCTTGCGCGATGCAGCAGACAACGAGCGCTAAAGTAGTGCAAGTATAGTATCCCAGACCAAAAATGGTGCTTCGATCTCTCCCAGCGTATGGTGACAGGGCACTCTTGATTCCATTTGGACAGGGCTGCACTGATCGAGGTGATGTCGTTACAGTCTTGACCATGCCTGGATAACTTGGAATATTTCGATGCGACAAGCCCTACCAGCTTACACAGCTTCACGTACTGGACGAAGAATTCCACGTGAACAGGATCGGGCGGGTATTCGTCGATATCATTCCCATCATGCTCGATGAAATCATCGTCGGTTATCATATCGACATCGCAATCATCGAGGTTGATGGATATTGATTGTCCCAGGGCAACAGCCAAAGCGCGATCTCGAGTAAACAGCGTCCACCAAATCCGCCTACGCAGCCTCTTTTCACTTATTGACAGTCTCGAACTTTCCATGCTGCGATGTAGACCGAAATTCTGGGCAACAGTGATCGCGGATTGACTCCAATAAAACATGTTCTTTGATATGTCATCAGGGCCAGCCCAGTACCACCCCATCAAGAGCATTGATTGGACCAATGTTATTCGATCGCGCTCATAGTCGGCATCATAAAGGGCTTTTGCGCGACGATAAAATGTTGCAACGGCAGTTGAAGTTGAGCCATCAACTTTCAACTGCGGGTTTGTGCTAATTCGGGCACCCGCCAGTAAGATACACTGGAGGAGGAGCATTGAGGGAGGATCTCTGGCATCTTGATATTGCGACATGAATTTTGTACGATTGATGACGGGTACAATCGGGTGTACCCAAGAAAAGAATGTCTCTATCAAGTCGTCGCAAAGCGCTTTCGGAGGTAGTACAAAGGCCCCTCTGCGCTTCAAGATCTGTATCTCGAGAGGGTCTAGTCCCGCAGGTATTGACAGCGCATGTGTATCCTGAGGCATGGGGAAATGTACGGGGCTTTGGCTTCCACGAAGGAGGAGGTCAAAGCCTGCGGATTCGCCAAGGTAAAGAACATGGCCTGCCGATGTGATAGGCAGAACATTCAATTTGGTTAGTGACGCAACTCCATCTTGTTGAGGACTTGTTTGATACGCCTGAGTACTTGAGGCTGGCGTACTAATGCGGGCGATTGAGGGATCTCTCTGTGCGCTAGTGCTTGTCAGCACGTAAGATCATGAAACGGATCACCGGGCCTCATACGTCTTGTCCCCTATTTTTGCACGGCTTATCAGAGTGCTCAAGAGGGGTTCCTCTATGCCTGGAACTTGACACTTGACATTAAATGCAGCGCAATTGGTGCAGGGAATCCCCTTGCTCAGAGCATCACATCGAACCTTTCTCAAATGACATGTCTGAAGAATATGTGAGATCCAGGATAAGATGAGTGGCGTGTCAGGTCACTTACCACGCAGGCTCGAAAGGATCGAATTGTGAGTTGTCTGTATCTATATTTGTTAATTCCACCACTCCAACAAGGACAAGAGAACCTATGTGCATACCTCCTTTGTCGCGGTTTTTGAACTGATGTAGCCATGGTTAGTATCTGAAGAAATGGAAATAAATGACGATCAATATCCACAAGCCAAATTGTTTGTCAGGATGAGTTTAAAATGCAGAGCCCCTCATCCGTTGCCAAACTGCACACTGGCTGCGTTATATGTTGGAGAATGACCATCAGCAGACCTATAAAGATCGTCTAAAAGGCACCAACAGCCTGCTCTAGCGCAGTAATAGCGTTTGCACTACTGTACCCCGCACTATTAAATGTAACGGTACAGTACTACTGTAGCCAGGAGCTTCGGTAGGAGGGAGAATGATTAAGCGGGGTTGGCTGAGAATGGTCTCAACGGGACGTGCCCGAAGGGGGTCGGGTATGACCGACCTTTGGGGCCATTTGGGACAGGGATATGCATAGCAACAAGACTCACTTCTACCTCATTTGGATCCTGCAACGGGGAAAGTGATGTCACTTTTGTTTCTCCTGAACACGCTAGCCGGCAATAGACTTCAGCTAAACGGCAGGCCCTCAGCTATGCAAGGATAGTATCTTCTGAAATAACAAAGTATGTAACTACAGCACTCAGCTCCTTCGACTTAATAAAGAGTACCGTATTCTCCTGCATTAGCTCCAAGCTAGCTGTAATAAGCTTCGTGAGAATTTACTGTACACCGTGTACGACTAGCCCTTACACAATTATTGTGTTTTATTGTGATGCGCTTGTCAATCAATAGGGCTAGCTGGATAGACGGTGGAGAGCATTAATTGTGAGACTTGACAGACGCTGCGCTCTATTCTGCGTACTGTAGTAAACTACCTAAGACTGCAAGTGAGGCCCTGCCCGGGCTCGTTCTCTAGCCAATGATAGGGCCAACTGGCTTTCCCACCAGATCAATAAGGGCCTCAATCAACGCAGCGGAGAGAGTGATTGAACCCCTTAGGTCCAGGAGGGAAGACACCACGTTACTAGTCTTGCACTGGCTTGGCCCTTTCTTGCCATTCATGATATCCTTCAACCACGCCAGAGCCTTTCCAGCTCCAATAATAGCGAGCGACCCATGCTCGGAGAGCAAGTCTCTATCATATTGAACCTTGGTTCCACCAGCGCAGTAGAGCTTGACAAGCTCGTCAGTATCCTTGATGGGGCTGACTTCATCCTGAATGGACTTGTAAATGAACAGAGGAATGCTGGGGCTGTATTTACCGAGAGCATTCTCCTCCAAAATGCTCTTGGCGGGCTCTTGTGTCAAGATGGCAGGGTCTTTGAGCATTCCAACCACGTCCTGTCCCAAGAACGAAAGAACATCCGCCACAAAGCATTGCTTGCCAACGGCGTCGAACTTAGCCTTGTACTCTGGCTTGATGGCAGCATCAAGTCCTAATTTGAGAAGGGGGTATTGCTTGGAGAGTCCGACCATGCCGGGAGGGATAATACCAGCCAAAGGTCCCTTGTTAATAGTCTTGATGACAGTTGTGATGTTGGGAACGGTGCCTCCAAGAGCAGCACCAGCGATGCGAAGCTCTGGAGCGTAGGACTGCTGAAGCTCTGCTGCTGAAGCTGACGCGATACTGCCACCAGAGTATCCCCACATTGCGACGGTGGGGTTCTTGGAGATACCAGTGAAGTTGGCCGAGTTGATGGCAGCTCTGATGCCGTCAAGGGTGGCATATCCAGCAAGCTTGTTTGCCAGATAAGCTGCGTCAGGACCTTCATGGTCTGGAGCAACGACGACCCATCCCTGCTCGAGAGCTGCTTCCATCAGCAAAAGCTCTGCTTGGGTGACAATGGTTCCAAGTGGTCCGCCAGTGGCAGAGGCGAATTGAAGGGCATAGGATGGAGCACAGCCGGCATAAGCTGCATCTTCAGCGACCTGGTATGAAAGGACCTTTGTGTAGTCGGCTTTGTATGGGACCAAGACAGTGAGGACAGTTGAGAGAGCCTTGCCAAAGTTGTCATTGGTTCTGTAGGAGATCTGCCAAGTGTCTTTCAAGTTGACAGGAGATACACCAAATGCAGCAATGGGCGACGGCGGTTTGCGAAAGTCGATGATAGTGCCAGGAGGGTAGTCATTGATGTTATCAGGGACCTTGTAAAAGGAATCTTCTGTAGGGAGTACAGGCTGCTGTCTCTCCACGACAGGAACAGACAGACCTAGAGTGGAGAATGCCGCGACCGACAGTAGGATGAAACGGGGAAACATGACTGAAGTGATTGGACTTGAGTGGTCTGATAGTCAACAACTTCATCAAACGGGTTTATGCCAGCGCCCCAAAGATGATAAGCTGAAGATGGTTTGCTTGATGGCCCTATCTTAATGATAAGGATATCAAACATAGTTAAATAGACAATTTGGTTGATTCTTGTTATGCTACCCCAGACCAGTCCTCCATTGCCCCATGTGAATCCTCGGACTGAGCGACTCAGCTTAGCCTGACTAAGAAGGAGAAAGTGCTTTACTCCTGTGCAGAGTGACATTTACCCCACATTACTGGTGTACAAGCTAGCGAGCCGCTATTTTGGTCTTGGGGACGTATCCATGGCGATCCCTTCCTTGCCGGGTTGTTGCTGCAAAGTCCGTCCTCGGCTTGCACGGAAATTGCAAACCGCGCCTTAGCGTCTACCTCTATGGCCATGGCGCCGAGCATCACAAGCTTGTCCACGCTGGACCCTATGCGTCTGAGAACAAATGCATCAGTGTTGATTCACGTTGCAGCAGCTATAGACCGTTGCTATACCATAGTTATTTAACTACACCATCGGCAATACTGTGTATATTGTGTTATATGGGACGAGGCTGTGGAGTCGATTTCGAGACTTCTTATTCGTCAGAATGTAGAAAATGTATCTTTAGCCCTGCTCTTTTTTAACAGAATATGTACAGTATATGCTCACCGCGGTGGTTGAAATGATGTAGTTATAAGTGAAGATCTAAAGAATAAGATTATATATAAATATATTAGACTCTTTTATACGCGCAAGGGCAACTGAGTATAGCATGGAGGATAAGTCAGACTGGCAGCAATGTGCTTCGTATTCGCTTATGTACATTTGAGGCCCAATCTTGCCTGGGCTGACAGAGCCTAACAATTCCTTCAGCCAATAAAAGTCATATTTTCAAGCCCTCCGCGCCGCAGAAGCGAAACTACACTTATTGGATGATTGAACTACAGAGTTGCGTGAAGATAAGCGTCTGTCTAAACTCTGCCTCGCAGTTTCTAATCTACGTTGTACGTGACCAGTCTCTTCACAATAGTGAAGCAGATGCAGTCAATGCTGTGAACTGTAGCTGTTCCCCTGTCTAATTCATCAAGCCTACCCAGCTTGGTGTCTTGGCTTGTTGCCAGGCATGGAGTACTACTTGAGGGGCATCCCCGCCCGCATCAAGAGACGACTGAACAAACATGGTAGGACGCCCACAGAGGAAGGAAATGCGGTAAGGGATTGTTTAATGCCTGGCTTTAGATCACTGTTTGCTTACCTTTTTATCAGCCGGATCTCGTCGATGAACATCGTGCGCCGACGAACCAAGTCCAAGCAGACTTGACAAGCCAGCTGACGCCCGAATTCTCTCACCAAGCTATGGCCGAACCATCGAACCAACCAACGGTTCAGTTAACGGACGAAGTACCTGATCAGTCTGTGTCTGGTTCTTCCCCCCTTGTAGTTGCTCCAACCGATACAGAGGTGGAGTCTTCAAATCCAGCCCTCGAGAGCACCGATGTTCCCTCGGGGTGCAGTCTTTGGCAACAGGCGTACGACAAACTGTGCAAAGAAGAGGACTTCGAGAGTAAACTGCTCCAGTATGAGAAATATGTCCTTACCCATGCAAACGTTGCTCCCACCGGTACGCATTGGTATAATCCTGCAGCTGGGTCCAAAAAGTTGACATGATAGCTATAGAACAAACACCAGCTACCTCATACCTCGAAGAAGTTAAAACCAATCAGAACCTGATTCAGGAATGGGTCAGGAAAGAGCTTGACAGCCTCTCAGAGCAACGAGTCGTCATTATCAGGCAGGGCAAACAAGTTGTTGTCCGAGACAAGATTCACCGAGTTATCAAATTCATTGAAAAGCAAAAAGACCTTATCAAAGCCGGTGTGGCTGCTGAGCCGACAGCTGCTTTAGTCTGGGGTGGTGCGATGGCAATAATACCGGTAGTTCATGTGGCCCTCCAAGATTCGATGCTCTTCCTGATCGCGATTAGTTCCTCCAAAACATATTCCAGCAAGATACAGATGCTGCCACAGCATTTGAGGATATTTGCTTCCTGACCCTGCAAAGCAGCGTGGTTGAACGCAGGTTGGACGAGTTGCGTCAAGGTGAACAGTGCGCATCCTCTTGCGGCTTACAGAAATGCAGTTGACTTATTGCATATCAGACAGGACTCAGTAACCTCATCTCTTCTAGAAGGCATGGAACAGGAGATTATCAACCTTTATGCAACCTCTCTTCGTTTTCAGATCAGACTTATAGTCCACTATCAGAATGGTTCTCTTGTGCGCATTGGCCGTGATGCCGTGCAGGCAGACGCGTGGCATGAAATGTTGAAAGATGCACAAAACGCCAATGCAAAGATCGCGGGCGGCTTCACCACCCTCGGAAGCGACAGGACCTTGTCTGAGCTTCCGGCCATTTCAGACGGTGTCAAGGCTCTTCGTGAGCAGATGATGGTATTGGTTCTCCTGAGAATGCTGGAGGGAAGCATACTAAGCTCTAGTAGGAAAGCGCAGACGATACTCGACTTGAACAACTAACGTGCGTTGGTGCCGCCCTCTTCCACTCTCGAGAGGTGGAAGACCACGGTGGTTGCCTCGAGGGAACCCAGGTCGAGACCTTGAATATGATCCAAAGTTGGGTGGAAGATCCAGATGCTCCCTTCGTGTTCTGGCTTCATGGTATGGCTGGCACGGGCAAGTCCAGTATTGCTCTGACCGTTGCTCAACGACTTCACAAACGGAAGCCTTTTGCCACTTCAGAACCTCCGCATTCTTCTATCGCGCTTGGGGCTACCTGGTTCTTCAATAGTAACGATAGGAGACGAAGTTCAGGGGCAAATCTTGTCACTAGTGTCGCGCGATGCTTAGCATTTAGTGTACCCAGACTCAGAAGCCACATTTCCAAGGCGATCCAAGACAATCTCAATGTCGACAACAAGTCACCTGGTGAGCAGCTTCGCTTGCTCATCCGAGATCCCCTCCTATCTCTTGACGAGGAGTTGTTTTCTCCCATCCGACTCCTCATCGTCATAGACGCTCTTGATGAGTGTTCGAATGCCAAAGAGATTCTTCAGCTTGTTCAGAACCTCAGCCTAGATAAGACAAAGGTCCATATCCGGATCCTGGTAACTAGCCGGAAAGAGGTCTACATCTCCAAGTACTTCGTGACGATTCTTCGAGGCCTCTACCGTTCGGCCCATCTCGAGAGGATTGGAAATCAGAATTATGTCAATCATAGTCACAGCTTATACGCTCTAAAGGAATCCGAGGTGATCGACATTGATGATATTTCAAGGTTTCTCATACACACATTATCAGAAATTGCTATTGCTCAGGAATGGCCCAAAGACTGGCTGAACACCGACAAGATTGAGAGACTGAGGAAGATGTCAGGGGGACTATTCCTGTGTGCTTCTGTAGCCTGCCGATTCCTTGACTATGAGCTGGATGACGAAGATCTCGACGGTCGACTGCAGCTTATTCTGGACGGCGGCGATGAGTTCAGAGAGACTGACGGGCACCAAGTCCAGGTATTCAAGAAGATTCTGGAGTACCATTACGTCGGAAGAGACTCTAAAAGGCTGAAGAGAGAGAGACATAAGGCAGCAGACGAGATCAGGTCGATTCTAGGAACCATGTCTGTTTTGTTTAGGCCGGTGTCCATCGATTCACTTGGTCGCTTCATCTCAAAAGGAAGAAAAGACCTCAAACAGCAAGTCGCCGCATTTGGCGCCGTGGTCAACATTCCCGAGCAGGACAGCGGCGCATTGACCCTGATCCATCTCTCTTTCAGCGAGTTCCTTCTGAGCGATCAGTGTCCATCCGACTTTCGAGTATATCCAGAAGAGGTCCATGGTCGAATTTTGGAAAAGTGTATCGATTTGATGGGGACTGGTCTTTATCAGGATATGTGCGACCTTCAACATCCGGGCGGCCGTATCGAAGCCCTTGCACCCTCGGTTGTCGACAGGTGTATTCCGCAGTACTTGCAGTATTGCTGCCATCACTGGATTGACCATCTGGGAAGTTTGACCGAGGAGAGACGCAATGTCTTTCTAGAGAATGATGGATTCATCCACCAGTTCCTGCGAGAGAAGTTCCTAATTTGGCTCGAGGCACTCAGCCTGCTGAGACAGATACATGTGGCTATTCTGGCCATGAGTCGCCTCCAGAAAATGACAGAGGTATTTCATTTCACATCCCGTGTTTCTACCCCGGCAAGCCTTTTGTTAATGTTTGATAATATAGAAGGCCGACTGTCCTGACCTCCATGTGCTTGTCGAAGATGCAATGCCTTTCCTACGCGAGAACAGTTGGATTATCGAAAGGGCTCCAATGCAAATTTACGTGTCTGCACTTCTCTTCAGCCCCGGGAAAAGCATCATACGCAAACAATTTTCGCAGTTTATGCCTCGGTGGATCCAAGTTGTAAGCCCACCGAGACTGATTTGGAACCCAGAGCTGTTAATTTTGGGAGGCTCAGAAAAGAGCCACTTGAGCTTCGCCTTTTCCCCTGATAACACGGTCCTTGCATCAGCGGGATACACCGGACCCGTAAAGCTATGGGATGTTGCTACAGGAATCGAACTGCAGAGACTCGAGTTTCGTGAATCCATTTGTTGCATGGCGTTCTCGGAAGATGGCAAACAGATTGCGCTTGGAGGGTTGGGTGAATTCCTTTGTGTTTGGGAGCCTGGCTCAAATCTCATGGTAGAACTCAAAGGAGCCGAATTCCGTCATCACCAGCACTCGATCGCGATTAGTCCCAAAGGCGACATGATCGCAGCAACAGCTAAGGATGGTGATGACCGTATTGGATTATGGTTAGCTATAGACGGCTCTCAGAAACTCAAGCGCGACCTCAGCGGCACACCTCGCGCAATACAGTTCGCGCCCGGCGGGCAGATGTTGGCCATCGTGGTCGAAATAGGCTACTACAGATATTCCATCCAAATGTGGGACGTTGCTACGGATGAGTTGAAAGACCTGCATGTCGGTACGGACAAGATCTGGGATGTTGGATTCTTGGATCAAGGGAAGACTTTGGCTTCAGCAATCAACGGGACTGTTGTGCATTGGGATACTGAAACCTGGCAAGAGTCTTTCCGATTCTCTCTGGTCCCCCAAGACGAGTTTGATGATCTCAGGTCAGTTGCTTTCTCGCCAAATGGTGCACAATATATTGCTGCTCAGACCAGCGGAAAGCCCGTCCGACTACGCCTGAGTACAAGCGGGAAAGAGGTTGGTCGCTTCCACGTCGCCAACGGCTCTAAACAGTTGTCTCTTTCTTCAGATGGCCGATATATGGCCTCAATAATCCCAGCTCAGTTCCCAAGGCCAGCGTGGGAGACTCTAATTCATCTGTGGACTGTGACACTCGACACAGCTTCCGGGGACATTAGTGACCAGGAGGTGCCACTGGAAAGCCATTTCGACTCTGTCTATGGCCGCCTTGAGTTTATCTCTGGAGCCGACGATCTACTTCTCGTTGAAGGAGGGGTCGAGAGTGAGCTCTGGAAGTGGAATACGGGTGGTGACGTGTCCAAACGAGTCGTGCCACGCACACATTCATTCTCCCCAAATGGCCGGTTCTTGGCGACCTGGACTGAACATCGAGTCCAGTTCTGGGGCGCTACAATGGAAGGACAGCCATTCAAAGAATTCGAGATGCCGATTAATCACAACGTTTGGCATAATGCCGTTTTTTCGACAAACGCCGACTTGGTTGCCATAGTTGGTTCATCCCAGACTTCGATTTTCGAGACGGGGACATGGCAGAGTGTGTCCCTCTTGCAGGGGGACGTCTCCGAGCTTGTCTTCTCTCCTTTGAAGGACCGAGTGGCCTGGTATTCAGAAATAAGTCAAACCATTCACGTATGGGACATTTCCAAAGGGGCTCATCTTTTTGAGGGGATAAAGGTCCAAAACCCGATATGCGAGATTTTCTTTTCTCCGAATGGCGAACTCGTTTTATACGTTTCAAACCTAAATCTGCATGAACGTCGGGTACACATCGTTAGAGTGCTAACAGGACAAGAATCTTCTGCTTTCGACATCACAATGTGGCAGATTACTGAACGGGCACCGGTCAGGTTTGCTGAAGATAGTGAGTCGGTTGCGGCCTTTGGATACAGAGATTCCTATGACTCATGGGAATACATCATCCGGAACACTTCCGATGGGCAGCCGATTGGGTCTCTGAAGCTAGATAGTGAGCATATGGTCTATGGAACGAAAGCGGCTATCTCGCCTACTCAGATCTTGGGACTCTGCGTCAGTTACCGGTCCAGGGATGAGATGCAGTTTTGGAATTCCAAAGGGGAGAAACTGGCGGCACTTGATTGCCAGTTGCCGGGCGACGAGCTTCGATTTTCCAACGACGGCGCCCACATTGAATCTCAAGTCGGAAATCTACTTGTTCCTCGGTGGTCACTACAAGATACAGACGCGTCACAGTCAACACAGCAAGAGATACCCCACGAGTGTGTCCTTGCCCATCAAAGGTGGATCACTTGGGGTTGGGACAATATTCTCTATCTACCCCCGGGCTATCAGACTTTGAGGGTGACGATCAAGGGGAAAAAGGTTGCCTTCAAGACAGACAAGCATGGTGTTGTTTTGATGGAACTTGATCTAACCAGGCTTTCTATCAGAGAGCGATGGACAAAGCTAAGAATGGAGGAATAAAATGGGCAGGCGATATAGGTACCTAGTTCTGTATTTAGTAGGGTTGATTTATGTTACAGCAGCTATACGCCCTCGCTCTTCCAGAGTTCTTCTATGGCATCCTCAGCATCATATCCATACGCCCAAATCTGAGTTACAGGGTCACTCCACTGATTTGTGCTCTCAACAAACGGCCGCCCTTCCACCTCCGCCTTCATCCCAAGATCCCTAGCTTGCTGTAGAGGACCGTCTGGAAAATGCCATAGCTTCCCATTTACCAAGCTTGCAGACTGCATACCGTAACTTCGACTCATCCTCTCCTTCTCAAAGACATGCAGAGCCGTCGATACTTGGTCTTTGCACTTGATCTTTGAGATGGCTGTAGCGAGAGCGGCTCCGTCTTCTACGGCCATGGCGGCACCTTGGGACATGTATGGCACCATGGCGTGGGCAGCGTCTCCGAGGATAATGAGCTTTTTACTCCTGGAGATCCAAGTTTGGAGACGGCTGCCGCTCATTAGGGGCCATTTGAGTGTACTCTTGATCATCTTGATCACTTTGAACAACCTAATGACGTTCAGTAAGTATTGGTGCATATGGAGAAGAAACGACTTACTTTGGATCCCAGTCTTTGAACGAGTCTTGCATATCGCGGATCGCATTCTCAGCATTCCATGTACTCGGTGACGAATGGTCGACATGAGATAAGACCATGTTGAAAGAGTTACCCCCAGCGATAGAGTACGTCATGACGTGTCGGTCTTCCCCAATCCTAGGATGGTCAACATTCGCTGCACTGCTGAAGGGATCTCCCACGTACCAGATGTTGATCCCAGGCTTCTCAAGCAACCAGGCTGTGTCTTCATCTTGCTTCATCTCCTCTGTATTTACTGTCGCGCGATAAGCAGCAAAACCAGTCTTTTGCGGCGGCAGGTCTGAACCCCCGAGAACAACAGATCGAGCTTGTGACTTGACGCCGTCTGCAGCGATGACCAGATCGGCACGGTATTCGCGACCATCAAAAGTCGTGGCGGAAGGAATTGACTCGTCGTAGTCAGTGACCCTGCTGTCAGTCACAATCTTTACTCCAAGGTCTTCTGCCCGGCGGCAAAGGGCGCGATGGAAGTCTGCTCGATGGATGACTAAATAGGGCGCTCCGTATCTGTCCTCAAAGTCTGGGGAGAGTCTTGTATAGGCGATCGAATCGCCATTCTCCCATCGTCGAAATGTCATACTATCTGGCTTCACGGCATATTGTTCAAGATATGGACCGAGACCCCATTTCATGAGCAACCTGCACGAATTCGAAGGGATCTGGATACCTGCACCAACCTAAAGTATAGATGTCAGACAACGGTCGAGCTTTTGCATTTTGAGTACGTACCTCGCCCAAGACAGCTGCTTGCTCCAAGACTGTAACCTCGTGGCCTTGACGAGTGAGCGCAACAGCCGTGGCTAAGCCGCCAAGTCCTGCACCAACAATCAAGATTTGAAGCTTGACCTGAGAGCCGGACAAGTGACCGTTGCCATTAGCATGCTTAGCAGTTTGATGGAGTCTCTCCAGGAGATTAGTGGATCGTGAAGGGTATGCCGCTGCCTATTGGAGTGAGACCTCGCTTCACTGGAGGGGAGGGCACGTTGACACGTACCGGCTGAGTAATCTTGTTCTTTGCCATTGTTGTTTTAGTCACATGTATGTTTTGGACTCTTGACACGGATCCTCGAATGGTGTACTTGTAAGTAAGCTGTCAGCAATGCACAGACGAATTATGTAGTTTTGTGCTGTGTGTCGCAGCATGAGGGGCGTGTGTTGCGGGATCATTTCCCGACGGTGCCCCGAAGACAAAACCACCGCAGCATCTGCCGATTTACCAGCAATAAAGCTTGTTACCTTGGCAATCATTGATTGATAATCACATGAATCTTTCTGAAGTATATCTACGATACAACAGAGAACGTCGTCAAGGGATTAGAATCACGACCTTTGATTGAAATCACAATCGCCACTATCCTATCACAGTTACTATCGGCTTAACTTCGCTCACCATCAGAAACATCCAAGAGATCAATCAAAATGGCGCCTTCTGCAGTCACAGCACCCAATGGGGACCAGCCTCTTGCCGACGTCACTCCAGCCAAGTCACTGAACACGTCTGAGGAACTTGTTGAAGCCCTCAAAGGTACCAACACAGCTCCTCTCTGGGCGCAGATGACACGCCTGAACCCTCCAGCACCCAACCCTCAGACTGTTCCCTATGTCTGGTCATATGACAAGATCAAGCCATATCTCCTCAAGGCTGGACAGCTTATCACGGAGAAGCAAGCCGAGCGCCGTGTCCTGATGCTTGGAAATCCTGCAAGAGGTGAGTCCGGTATCTCGCATTCCCCGCCCCCCAACTCAGTACTAACCGTTTTGGCCTAGAGGCACCATACACCACTGATACCCTGTATGCTGGACTTCAGCTGGTGCAGCCTAAAGAGACGGCACCCGCGCACAGACACACTGCCTTCGCATGCAGGTTCATCATCGAAGGCACCGGCGGCTTCACTGCAGTTCACGGCAAGAGAGTGCCTATGAAGCCTCGCGACGTCATTGTCACACCTACTTGGAACTGGCATGATCACGGAAAGAAGGGCGCTGATGAGGAGGGTGGAGATGATCAGCCTGTCATCTGGCTCGATGGCCTTGACCTCCCTAGCTTCATCCACTTCCCTGTCCATTTCGTCGAACATCATACTGCTGCGCGATACCCAGCTGAAGACTTTGAAGAGTCTGATATTGTATATCCATGGAGCAAGATGCAGCCCAAGCTAGACGCCAGCCCTGATGAATGGGTCTCGGAGCCGTACCTGAAGCCTAGTGGGGCCGAAAGTAAGTGTCCACCTTGATAACCCTTGAGCTTCAGCTAACATCATCACGCAGTTGGTCGTATCATCGGTGCTTCAGCCGAGAGACTCAACCCTGGAGCCAAGTCACCTGAGATTCAAGAGACAAGCTCTGCTGTGTACCATGTCATTGAAGGCTCCGGCTCCACTCAAGTTGGAGACAAGGTCCTTGAGTGGAAGCAGGGTGATACTTTTTGCATTCCAACTTGGCACAAGTATCAGCATCATGCAGATGATAGCAGCAAGGTTTATCTCTATAGATTTGATGATAAGCCGATGCTCAGGGCTTTGGGGTTCTACCGCGTGGCAGGAGTTGATGTTGAGACTTATGTCTCTGAATAACTTGGATAGTCTTACTGTCAGATGCATCAAGAGGGGAAGGGATCCAAACTATGATGAAGGTATTCTAAATAAAACAATCGTTGATTCCATTTGACTAATCTCGAGACCAAAGTCGAGTTAAATACAGTATCAAAGTGCGCCGTGCTCATCGAAATGATTGAATGTGAACGTGGGAATAGCCTCTTTAGTTGACCAAGCTCGGGCATCAGCTCAAGGCATACTTTCCACTCAACAATCTATTGTCTATATCAACTCAAAATACAAAAGAGCCTGAGGTACGTGTCACCAACCACTCGTCTTAACTGGGATTCTGCCTTTGGTCTTGTCGTTCAACCTCCTCCGTTCCCCTCAACCACTTCTGATGCTTTCATCCCGTATCATACAATGTCAGCCTTTGCTATTGTCCGGCCAGAAAAAGACCAACGGGGCCAGTTCTCTGCAGACTGTAGCATGTCTTTGACAGTTGATGATCAGATGTCTAGCCAATCGCTGGGTGAATGGGTGGGCATCCGATATTGCCCCTAACCCCGGACTATACTGATTGGTGCATCCGCACCCGAGGCTACGAGTTATTGTTGCTTGGCGTGCTCCTGGAAACCTTCTGTTAGTCCCTACTACAAGTAATACGATATCTCGCCAAAATGATACTCAGTTTCCGATATCGTATTCCTGATTTTGTTAGCTCCACTGAAGCTCTTTCAGAGACAATGGCGGACTCTACCACTGACCAGCCTGTGCTCCGCAATGGATCACAAGGTTATCGTATTCCCCTGCTTATCAACGATGCTCCAGTTTTGAGAGAGGAAGATACTTCACGACACCAATCATTTGAGGGAGGGTACTTCCAGGGTGCTGGTATATCCGACTGTGCGGATGCTGTGGCGAGTTGCAGCAAAGCATTCGTGACTTGGTCTACAACTTCTCCGACCCATAGACGCGGTCTTCTCTTACGCCTAGCACAGGTATCGATACACTTTGACCCATTTTGATACCATGACTAACGAAGCGGAAAACGTAGGTGCTGAAGAACCATCAGCATGAGGTCCAAAATATTATGAAGTCTGAGATCCACTGCGACGATCTATGGGCATCTATCGGTGTCACTACCAGCATCGATTTGATCGAACAGACTGCATATCTGCTCACAGCGGGGAGCATGAGTGGCACCATCCCGCACACCCAACCTGAAGGGTCGTATGGTTTGGTGTTCACTCGTCCTTTGGGGGTTGTTCTGGGAATTGCTCCCTGGAACTCTCCTCTCTTCTTGGCCCTTCGAGCAGTCATTGCCCCGCTGGCTGTTGGGAACACTGTTATTCTCAAGGTGAGAATTCTATCCCTGATGTCTAGCGACACCTTACTAATCATGGCCAACTCTAGGGATCTGAGCTTAGTCCCCGTATACATTACTTCGTCGCCGGGTTGTTCGCAAAGGCTGGTTTCCCTCCTGGTGTCGTCAATTTCATCCTTCATCGACCAGAAGATGCCCCTGAGGTAGTTGGTTATCTCATTCGAGACCCCGCTGTCAGAAAGGTCAACTTCACTGGCTCTACTCCAGTTGGAAGTAGCATTGCTGAGCAAGCGGGACGGGCTCTGAAGCCGGTATTGCTGGAGCTTGGTGGGAAGAACTGCTGCATTGTCTTGAAGGACGCAGACATCGGTCGTGCAGCAGAAGCGGCTCTTGCAGGAGCAACACTAAATGTGAGCATACTGTCCACTACTTTCGATCACCGACTAATCAATCTTGTGTGTTAAGGGCGGACAGATATGCATGTCTACGGATCTTGTCCTAGTGGAAAAGGATGTCGTAGATGAGTTTCGTGCTGAGCTTACGAAGCTTCTGCAAAGCAAGAACGGCTCGGCGTACCGACTTGTTGGACCGAAGAGCCAGTCGAGAGTACAAGCTTTGGTCTCCGATGCAGAAGCCAAGGGATCTTCTGTCAAGTCTTCTAAGGAGCACCAGACCGACTCAAACCAGGTCCCCGTCACAATCCTCGATAACATCAACAGCTCTATGAATTTCTTATGCACGGAGAGTTTCGGTCCCTGTCTTGGAATCGTCGCGGTCTCTGACAGAGAAGAGGCTGTCAAGATTGTCAATGATAGTGATTACGGGCTGTCTGGTGCGATATGGACACGGAATCAGTACGCAGCTTTGGAAATGGCGCGTCGACTGCAAGTTGGCGCGGTGCATATCAACTCGTCTACGGTTCATGATGAAGCGACTCTGCCTCATGGAGGAACGAAGCAGAGCGGATTTGGAAGATTTGGTGCCGAATGGGGGTTGAAGGAATTCGTTGAGACGCAGACAGTTATCATGCATGCGTAATCATATCACCTAGCTTTATCATCAATTGCACTTTCTTCAATGGTCCTCAAGCATCACGTAGCAAGACCATGGATCTACTTATCGATTGTCTAAGCCGGTACCTAATAATTCTTCAGTAACTGTGTGGGTGACTGGTATACTGCCTAGATTGGACTTGTGAGAGTGTCATTTGGAGTTAAAGACCTGACTGCTAGTGCTTACATCACGCTCCTTAGCCGTACCAAATACTCAGTCACTTTGATTATCAACATGACCAGCATTGCTGTTACAGTGTCTCTGTTATCCATTGGAAAAATACGTCGAATATCATCTCCCGAACTACCCATGGACTCGGCCTACGGGGATCCCACTCATAAACTTGGCTTCCGTTAAATCAGATCTACGAGTATCTACGACCGAGATAACGACGGCTGACTGGGAAACCGAGGTCCGACCCCGCGGTCTTGATGGCACAAGGTGCAACAAGCGAGATCAAGTCCCCAGGAGTCCCCAGCAAGCAAGGATATGAAGCTTTCGAGGCATGTAAAACGCGTCAACCATTGATTGAAGCGATGAGATCGTGCGGGGTAAACTCTGAGGTAAGAGTTGGATCTTTTCCGGGGCTCGGGGCAAAGACGGGAGCCAGCGTGTCCCAGCCTGAATCATCCTGGCACGAGGCTTGGTCTAGACCAGCGCTCGGCACTGGCCAGTGATAAGTGAAGGCATAAAGGATTGAGGCTCCAACCCTATGAGTAACTCCTTTTCTGTAATCAGTCTCATCAATCAATTGCCATCGACACCACTGCCAGTTATTAACTGTGCTACGAGGACCGCATACTCGACAATGTCTATCTCTCCTTTCGTAAGAGCACCCCTAATCACTGTTGTGATTCAGGCCACGAACGCTAATAGAACGCGACTTATAGGAATGGCCGCTCTGGTGGCGTATATGCGTTCTGCTGAATATCAGCTTCTACAATCTCATCGGAAATGCCTGGGCCTCTGGTCTTTCTTCTGTCTTTGGGTTGATCATTCAGGAGCTGCACTGCACGCAAACTCAAGCTTCTAGGCTGCCGACTTATGCTCTGCTGGCTTTGGGACTCTCTGTGTGTCACTCACCGTCTTATCCTTGATGGATATGTTGATTGGCTAACACTCTCAGAACCTCTTCGCTCTTCCGTTATCGTTGCTCATCGGAAAGCGGTACACGGTTCTCGGTTCGCTCGTCATCTTCATCGCGTGTAACATCTGGTCCAGTGAAGCAACCGACTATTACTCACTTCGAAACTCGCGTATCGTCGGTGGTTTGGCTGGCGGTCTCGTTGAGGCTCTCGGCCCCATCATCGTAGCTGAGACGTTTCCGACTCATCAGCTCGGAAGAGCCATGGTCGTCTACGTTGGCTTCCTCGCCGCTGGTTCTGCAATCGGTCCCATGGTCGCTGGTGCAGTTGGAGTTGATCTGGGGAGCTGGAGATGGTACCTGAGGATTCTGACAATCGCGACTGGCTTTAATCTCTTTGGTTCGATCTTGATGCTTCCTGAGACAACTCACGATACCGAGGAGCTGGACGCTGCTCAACCCAGGCCTGGAAGCGAGCCTGTTCCCGAGCCCAAGCCTACGAGCACTTCGATCGAGGATATCTACATCTCGTCACCGGCCGTGACTACAACTGGGGAGATTTCTGTCGCCAGCTTCAGAAAGGAGTACATTTCGAGGTCCTTCAGTGGCGAGTTTATGCCGATGAAGTGGAAGAAGATGGGTCTATCATTGGTTCGGCCGCTGCAGCTGCTCATGGCACCCCAGATTCTCGTCACCGTCTACATCTTTGGCCTAACCATTGGCTGGACTGTTATCATCTCCATCCTCCTCCCCGTCACCTACGCCCAACCTCCTCTGCTGTGGAATTCGCGTTCGATTGGCCTACTCTGCACCTCTGCTCTTATTGGCCTTCTTGTTGGTCTCCCCTTTGGTGGATACTTGGCAGACCTTCTCTTCATCCGATCAACAAAGGGACGCACCGAGGAGCCTAATCCCAGGAGTAGACTGCCAATGATGCTTATCGGAGCAATCGCCAGCCCTGTTGGCTGCATTATCCTCGGCCATGGACTTCGAACCCCTACTCACTGGATCGTTGTATGCGTCGGATGGGGCCTTGTTTCATTTGGTTTGACAGGATCGGCTAATGTCCTGCTTACTTATTCGGTTAACACTATGCCTTCGCGAGCAGGAGATATCGGTGTTCTTGTAAATGTCATGAAAAATTGTCTGGCCTTTGGTGTATCCTACTCAGCCCTTACTTGGCTAAACGCTATGGGCCCATTGAAGCAATTCGCCGTCATGGCAGCTCTTCTTTGGCTTGGATACATCATGGTCATTCCGGTTTGGGTTTGGAGCAAGTCCATTATTCGCAGAAGCGCTGTTTATACCCGGTAGTTGGTTATAGGGAATTTGTTATGTATCCCACCATTTGTAAACCGTCTAGTTAGTTTCTAGTATAACTCAATTAGCTGTTATACTTTCCTTGCTTGGTTTTCTTAACTATGTTACGTTGCCTGACTAATGAGGAGCAGTGTTTTGCTACTTGTGCAACTTAGTGAGAAGTTCCACGAGATCTTATTATTTCTCATACCAAAACTCTACATTGGCTTGAATAACTGTCACAATCAGATTGAAGACCATATATAGAATAGTAATCTCATCAATGAAAGTAGTCCGATTGTCCGAAGATAAGAGAATGCCTTGTAAAAAGCCTGACAAGTTGCCAAGTCGCGCGTTTACCCTACATCATCAAGCCGCAGTATGGAAGGTTTCCGCTGTGACCAATTATATGCCTGAATTCAAATAACCGGGCTAACCAGATCCTACCGCCAAGCGAATCAGATCGGCGCACAGCCTCAGGTGGTGTTCTATATATAAACCAAAGCCGGAGTACAACAACATCATTGACTTTCCAGTCCAATGTCTGTACATGCGCCTTCACATAACAAAAGACATTTGCCATAATCATGCCGTTTTCCACTGTCTACGAAGATCCTTGGACAAGGACGCCGATTGATTTAAGTCACGCTGTTGTTGTGAGCTAACATGTTGCTATTTGGTGCAATGGATCTGAAACTCATTCCTTATCAATAGCAACACCTCGAACTGATCGAGACCTTTCTGAAGCTCCTTCAACACCTTGGCGATACAGATGGTAGCATAAGTGACGAAACATTGGTATATTCAGAATGGCGTTATGCTATGTATCTTCGTTTCATCGACATACGAGGCTTTTGCCCAAATGATCACCCACCTCCATGGTAGGCTCTGTGTCTTTGCCATGCGGTCGTCTTGCTGATAACTATAGGGACGTTGCACTTATTATGTATCTGCACATGCTGTCACCCTCGCGCTTTCATCACTATAGATACGATAACCGTAATCGCAACTTCAATGGCATCTTTGGCTTGGAGCATCGGCATTTCCCCATGACTAAACTGCTAGCAGGTGAATGGTGTCCTAGACGGACAAAGAAGGCTTGGGATGATTGCAGTAAGATGAGCCGGTCTGGCTCCGAGTGCCGTGGCTCCAACCTACCATATCAGCTATGGCCCTCCGCACCATGGAAGCCGAAGAGACTATCCATGCTGGGAGGACGGGCTGATCGGCCACCATGTTCGGACAGAAAATGGATAACGCCGACTGATAAAAAGCTTGACGACATCCCCAAAGACCAACAAGGAAAAGTGATCCTGATGCATCAATGGGATCGCTGCCGCACAAGTGTGCCGGAGCAAGGCTTCAAGGTCTGGGACCTCCAGTCATACGCGGCGATACGAACTTGTAGGATAGAAGAAAGATGCAGGAGTCAGAGTCAGCATGAACAATTCAACGAGACGTGCATGCTAAAGCCATGGCCATCTTTGCAAGACCTTCGAGAAGACCTCGAGCAACAAGTGTCCTTCTGGAAGGTTACACATCGAGTCAAGAATTCGGTACCTGGGTTTCTGGAGAGTTTGAAGAACTCGGTGGGTGAATATGAAGAATTTCTTGGCCTTCTGGGTAGTATACTTCCAAAGAGTGAGAGTGACGGCTCATACAAGTCAAAGCTAGACCCGAAGGCAGCAAAACCCTCTTGTCGCCCAAGGTCTCGACCCTCGCGGATAATCCCCCCAACGCTCGAGATTGATCTTCTATGGCAGACTCATCGTTTGTTCCCAGCAAGCTACTGGGTTTGGTCGGCCGAGAAGGCAGACTGGGTCCTTGATAGAGAGCGTACAGCGAATGTGCAAGCTGCAGGTACACTGCTCCAACACACAAGACAATTATGGAAATCGAAGTATACCTCGGAGTTGGAAAGAGGAGTATCAGTGGAGGAGACGTTGACGGAGTACGTGCCTGACACAGTCAAGCATGCTGCTGCCGACGTGGAGAGGACTGATCTAAGAACTCTGCTCGTGGGTCGCGATGCGTGGAAAGAGAGGAAGGTTATCAGAAGGGGTCGAGGGGGCGATATATCTGGGGGTGGAGGAGCGGGCGATTACGGAGCGTCCGGGGGTTGCGATGGAGGCGGTGGTGGTGATGGTGGTGGAGGTGGCGAATAGGTAACCACGGAGCGACCAATGTTCTGAGTCTGTCAAAGAGGGACCGGGAACGAAACTGAACAAATGGAGTCAATTGAATGCTAGAAGTGCCATTAAAGAGTAACCTTCCGATTATATTGTGGCAACAGAGCAGGTGCAGAAGTGGGAAACAATAGAAAAGAAGAAAAGAAAAGGCTGTTGTAGACTCTGATCCATCTTGACCTTATCTCTGGTTTAAAGACCGTGAGGGAGAGTCTTAGTAGCAACTTCGCGACAGATGCAGGGGTCAAAGGATGCCGCACTCCCCTAACCATGTAATTGCCACGGCGAGATCTACTGCTGTCAGTCTGACGAGACTAAGCGCGTATCGAGTACTCGGACTTATCAGACTGCCTAATGACTACTACCTTTCACGTCATTCGTATAAAGATACTACCATATAATCACAGAACTCATCTACGCCCGTTGCTTGACACTAAAATGGTCTAGAAAGACTTGGCAATGAGGGAATTATTAGCTTCTCCAGTTAAGGAGATCATACTCCGCCAACATTATGAAGCCCCGTATAGCGAAATGGGGCCTGGGAATGGGGCTTGTTGGGGTAGCACGATGGAGTCCAGAAAGGTCGAGACGAAAACCCCGCACTTCTCCGCCTGCTCCGCGCAAGCTTAATTCAAGGTTATCACAGAACTAAACCTCAAATTCAGGTGCACGGCTGTTTTCTTGTCCCCAGTGACTGACCAAGAGACGCATCCTCATTCGTTGCCCAAGGTCTTTCACTACCCTTCTAGAGCCAGACTAATGACTCTAGCGTATTCCGGCGGCCGTTTTCTCCCTGCACCTCGGGGGCTGTATCCAAACTCGGAACTCCGAGGTTTCCAGTGGATCAACAGCAGTCTAATGTGGTATTACATCTTCGCAATTAAGTACTCAACAATGACGGAATCTAAAGTCCACTGTAGTCGTGTTCTCGTATGTGGTTCCGCAGCCAAAACCTTAATCTAAAGGCCAGTAACCAGCTACGCAGAAGTCTGTTGCCCCGTGGGGTAGAATGGTGGAGGAATGAGGGAACCTTGCACGAATTGGGTCACCGTGGGGTGCTCCAGACGGATACAATACTGGAGACCGGCCATCGGTATTGTAAGTGCGGCTAATCTCGCCGAAAAGTATAGATAAACAGGTCCCTGCACGGCTTGTTGGAGATTCTTCCTCCCAAGCCACCTCTTACCCACCAAAGAGGCAGTGGTATCATCTTTGAGTCACAAGACCCTTCGCCATCCAGTCCCAGCATCATCGGTTACAATCGCCATGGCTGATATCGAGAAGCCGTTTCAAGTTGAGACTGAAAAGGTCGACAACACAACCATCGAATACGAGCGAGCTCAGCTTCTGGCTCATCTACCAGATCCTGATGCCGGAAAGACGGTGGAAGAGCGTCAAGCTATTGTACGTATAATCAACAGTGCACTCGTATCAATGAACGACCGAGCTAACCGATCCAAACAGGAAAAGAAGCTGATGTGGAGGGTTGATCTGGCCCTTATCCCATGGCTGTCTTTCCTATATCTCCTGTCCTTCCTCGACCGAACCAATATCGGAAACGCTCGCCTAGCTGGTCTCGAAGTCGATCTGGGGATGGTCAAAGGGGACTACAATAATGCATTGACGATCTTCTTCGTTTCATACGCTGTCGTCGAACCTGCAACAAATGCCCTGCTCAAGAAGATCACCCCCCGGTTATTCTTCACCCTTATTATTCTGACATGGGGACTGATAATGACTCTGATGGGGCTTGTCACCAATGTCAAGGGCTTGCTAGCCGCTCGCTTCTTCCTTGGTATGGCCGAAGCCGGACTCTTCCCCGGAGTCAACTATTATCTCTCTTGTTGGTATAAGAGCTCTGAAATCGGCATCCGGTCATCTATCTTCTTCTCAGCCGCTGCACTGGCAGGCTCCTTTGGCGGCCTGCTTGCAGCTGTTATTGCGAAGATGGATGGCATCGGCGGGAAACCCGGTTGGGCTTGGATCTTCATCTTGGAGGGCCTTGCTACTGTTGTAGCTGGACTGGCATGCTGGTGGCTCGTCTTTGATTGGCCAGCAACAGCGAGCTTTCTTAGTCCTGATGACCAGATCCGAGTCCAACGTCGCTTGATCATGGACCGACAAGGCCGAACTGCAGAAGACTTCGATAAGAGACATATGTTTGCTGCCTTGAAGGACTGGAAGACATATGGATACATGCTGATCTATATGGGCTGCCTTACTCCTCTATATGCCTTCTCCCTGTTTCTTCCGACTATCATTGCTGGCATGGGCCATGCAGGTACGAAGGCCCAGCTGCTCTCTGTGCCCCCTTATGCAGTAGCAGCGACCCTCACCATTTGCGTGGGCTTTTACGGCGACAGGACCCGGCAACGAGGCTACTGCAACATTGCCATTGTTTTGCTCGGTATTACTGGTTTTGCTATGCTCATAGCGTCGTCCAACCCGACAGTGCAGTATGTCGGTGTCTTCCTCGGCGCAGCAGGCATTTACCCTACCGTCCCCAACACTCTCTCATGGTTGAACAATAACACTGAGGGATCGCTGAAGCGTGCCTTTGTGCTGGGAGTAGTAGTAGGCTGGGGTAATTTGAATGGCGTGGTGTCATCAAACATCTACTTGCTTCGCGAAAAGCCCCGTTATTATACAGGACATGGGGTTGTCTTTGGCTATCTCGTGGTTTTCTTGCTTGGTGGATCTATCTTGATGCATCTGGGACTTCGCAAAATGAACAGAGATCGCAGCCTTGGCAAGATGGACGCTAAATGGGACAGTCTGTCAGACGAACAGAAGTGGATTCAAGGTGACCTGCGACCTGACTTCAAATACACTCTATAGTCTATAGCCTGACCATTAACATATAAAAGTACGGCTTATTTGTAAAATCTGTTTAGCTGTCATAGGCGCACAAGTACAAGTCCCCACTGCCATGTCACTGTGAGTAACTGCTGTCATGCTATGGTAGATGAGGGGTAATCTATACCCTGCTAGCTCATGGGAGTGTCGGGCTTGGGATGTAAGAGCACTTGGGAGGGGTATGAGATATTAACGGGCAGGCTGCTCTGGGTTACAAGGAGCCAAGAGTACAGTGTACAAAGCATCGAGATTATGTCGGACGAGGTGCCACACAATCAGGTAATGTGCAGGATGGCGTATTTGGTGTTTGCTGGCATGAAATAAGCACAAAGGCAGCATCCTGACACCATTATTTAAATAACTCTTAACCCCAAAGAACACTACTTGCGTAATAAGGACAAAGTCTGCTAATAATTCTGATTTGAGAGAATTTTTCGCTGCGGAAATTATTGCAACTGCAACTGCTCGATGCTCGTACCCAGATCATGGAGTACGAACAGCTTAGCCTGGTGGCTGACCCGTCGAGATATGCCATCATCGCCATCGGCGTGGCCATCCTCACCATGGCCATTGGATCATGGTTGCTAGACACACACTCCGAGCCACCACTGCTTAACCCAGTGAGGCCACTTGAAATCATCAACCTTCCACGACTCTACCGCTTCATGCGATACAGCCTGAATATTCTCAAAAGGGGCGCTGAGCAATTTCCCCGTCAGCCATACAGGCTTTTCTGTGAATGGGGCGAATTGGTCATCTTACCCCCCGAATGTATAGACGAGATCAAAATTGACAAGCGGTTCGATTTTGGAGTTGCAGCCAGTGATGTAGGTCTACAACCTCATGGAAGAGAGTTCCTATAACGAGACTAATGGGCCCAGGATAATCATGCTTATATACCTGGGTTTAATGCCCTCTTACATGATCCTTTCATGTCAAAGATTATATCGCGACAATTGACCCAAGCCTTAGGTTCGTCTACCGTGATTCAAGCTCATGTCGCCGTGACTGACAGTCGGGAACAGGCAAACTTACGGCTCCATTATCCGATGAAGCTGCTATAGTCATGAAAAACGTCATTACAGATTCTCACGGTAAGTTTGCCTTTCTCTGCACAGAAGTGGTGACACGTATAATAGTAGTGAAGCTAATTGTTTTCCACCAAGAATGGCACGTCCTAAACTTGAGAGAGGATATTGCCAACATCGTAACCCGAATGTCCTCCAGAGTCTTCATGGGAGAGGAGCTTTGTCACGACGAAGGATGGAACAAAGCACAAGCATACTATACCATGAAGACCTTCCAAGCCATGATGGTCCTCTGCATGGTCCCTCGCTGGCTTCGACCTTACATCCATCGGATGCTGCCTCCCTGTTGGATAGTTCGCAGAGCGCTAGCTGCCGCCCGGAAACAACTAGCTCCACATATTGCACGTCGTCAAGAGATCAAGACTGCGGCACTTGCTCGGGGAGAGAAGTCTCCCTTTGATGACACGATTGAATGGTTTGCACAGAGTGGTTCTCGACTTCCCCCCGCCGATTGTCAGATATCGCTTTCACTAGCTGCTATACATACGACCACTGACTTGCTCTCTCAAGTCATGATTGACATTGCCGCACACCCAGTACTCTTCACGGAGATGCGTAAGGAGATCATCGGCGTACTTTCAACGTCAGGCATGACCAAGACTGCCCTTTCTAATCTCAGATTGATGGATAGCGTTGTAAAAGAGTCACAGAGACTTAAGCCAATACTGCTGGGTAAGCATCACTGACACTACTTATTTGGTCTATTTGCTAATGCATGTCAGGCTGGAGAAGACAGGCGCTTGCTGATGCCACCCTGTCCAACGGTATTCAAATCAAGAAAGGCCAAAAGGTAGCCGTCACATCATCTCATATGTGGAGCAACGGGAACTACGACATGGCAAAAGAGTTCAAACCCTATCGCTTCATGTCAGATACGGAGAAGACATCATCTCTGGTTAGCACAAGCCCGAATCATCTGGGGTTTGGTCATGGCATGCATGCGTGTCCAGGACGCTTCTTTGCAGCTAATGAGGTCAAGATTGCTTTGTGCCACCTACTTCTCAAGTATGACTGGAAGTTCAAAGACGATAAGAAGCCAGAGCCTGTGGCATTTGGCATGGCGTATGTCGCCAACCCCTTCGCCAAGTTGATGATCAGAAGAAGGGAGGGAGAGCTGGATTTATCTACGCTGAACTGTGGAGATGGACATGGTCAGAGTTGAATGGGATCTCTGTCTAAGCAACTATTGCAGCTGAGCCTCTGGTATAAGTAGTTAAGAGATGAAGTTTTGTAAATTTAACCTTGGCATAGCTCAATATCATAAGAAATTCACAGTGTTTAGAAGCTGGATCGATCCTGCTCAATGGTACTTACTTCAGTGGAATTCGTTACTTTCAAACGATGCCTCACATAACGGCGCATTAAGAAATGCATAAACTCCAACTTGTAATGTATGGGCTCTCTACACTCTTTAGTAAGTTCTACTAGGCTATGCATAGTACATCTATGCTTCAAACACTGACCCAAAGACGTTGCCATCGCCCATTCCAGCCTCACTGACTTCCAACCCTTTCAGTGCCTCGAGCACATCCTCCGGGAGAGGCCCCTTCTTTATGATGGCCATGTTCTTTTCAAAGTGTTCAACAGTCGAACCTCCAAGAATAATGGCATCTTGTGGCCGAAGCTTCGAATGGTAGAACAACAACCGAATAGCCACGTCAGCAGGGCCTTCAACGGCTCCGCTGACTACGAGACCAGAAAGATCCTTGACTGCGTTATGAAAAGGCTCCTTGTCGTATATAAACTTGTAGATGGTCAGAGGATGAGTTGGCTCGCCGTATCGTGTACCGGCTGTATCGCCATCTGTTGGCTTCCCGGTCAGGAAGCCTCCTGCAAGTGGGCTATAGGCATGAAGAACCATGTCATGCTGGCGGAGGAATGTTAGTATTTTGGTGCCTGTTCCTCGCCAAATATAGTTGTACATGTACTGTGCAACAGTTGGCTTGACATAGCCTTTAGCATCACAGATCTCGATGTATTTCTCTATCATGCTGAGAGGCCAGTTGCATAGCCCTAACTGTAAGATAGATAGATTAGGCCCGGTTCTGATACAAGGTCTCGTATGCAGTGTGTCCCATACCTGTTTAAACTTGCCCTTTTTGAACTGGTCGTCAAAAGCGCGAGCCTGATCCTCAAGAGGTGTAACAGGGTCTGGCATATGCGCCGAAAGAATGTTGACCGAGTCTTGATGGAGTTTCTCCAGGCTAGTGTTGAGGCTCTTCTCAACAGCTTCCGGAGCCAATGCTCCTCGGAGATCACGACTGATAGCAATTCTAGTGTCTATCGCCCACTCGCCGGACTTTGCTTTTCCGAGAAGAACCTCAGTAATGCCGGTGGCTTCTTCAGTGGGATAGCTTGCAGCTGTATCAAGATGCTTGATGCCATTGTCTGCAGCTACTTGGAGGAACTTTCGAACAGCATCCTCCTCGGCAAGAGAGCCGTAGCCGATTGATGCTGTGCCGAAGATGATTTGGGGGCCTTTCTGAAGCATGATTTGATAGTAACGATAGAGTCAAGGATTGTTGTCTGGATGTGGAATCTGGGAACTCTGCTTGTTGCCATCTCAACAATGCACTGTTATCACATGATTTATAAAAAGACCATTAATCACTTATGGGTCACATGGTACATGTTTCTTGGGTACAGCGTCACCAGTTATCTCAAAGGATCCGACTATATGTGAAAAAGCAAGGATAATTGCTGTATTTGTCTCTTGTAGGAGTGTATTTTCAACGGAGGCGTGGTAATATAATAGAACGATGGAGGGGTATAGTGGAGAGCACCCATAAACGGCGTTTTCGGGCGCTATATAAGATATCTGAAAACCCCTCAAGTTTGCGTGCTGACGCCAAGCCATGTAGTGACCTTGTTGTTATCAAAATATCGACAAGGGGTCACGTATGCTTTGTCTTGACATGTTACGTACTTTCTCAATAGGATGTGGACGGGAGGCAAGACACTCGGCTCGGATCCCTCCAGCTCCCGAATCAGGAGAAAAGGTGCACACTCGAGTGCATACCTTCCTGGCAAGTTCTTGAGTAAGTATATACGGTAGCTTTATCCTCATTGCGCTCGTGACCTCGAGTCACCTGTTTGTTACATCTCTTATCATGCGTGTTGCTGTCGTTGGTGCTGGGCCTGGAGGCCTCGTCACCCTCAAGTATCTCAAGGAAGCACATAAGTTTTTCAACATTGACCCCATTGAAGTTCGCCTCTTCGAACGTGAGGGCGCTGTTGGTGGTACTTTTACCCAGCGTACCTATGAGGATGCTGAGGTGAGTTTGTTCTGTGCAATTCGCTCATCGCCTTAGCTGACTGCAATATCCAGCTCGTTTCATCCAAGTATCTGACCTGCTTCTCTGACTTCCGAGCAGACTCGGATGATCCAGACTTTCTCAGCGCCGAGAGGTTCATTCGCTACTTGAAGGAGTACGCGGATTATTTCCATCTCTGGCCTGAGATATCCTTGAACACGTCAGTTACCTCTGTCAGAAGAGGTCAGGCTGGCGGCCATGTCGTACACTATCGCGGTGCTGATGGTGTCGATATGAAGTGGGAATGCGATGCTGTTTCAGTCTGCACTGGGCTTCACGTCACTCCCAATACTCCCGATGTCAAAGGGATGGGCAAGGTAAAGGTTGTCAAACATTTTTCTCAGTTCAAGAAGAGAGATGAGTTTCCTCAGGGAGGTACCGTTGTTGTCCTCGGTACTGGCGAGACCGGTATGGATATTGCCCACCTTGCCGTGACCTCCCCCACGAAACGTGTTGTTCTCTGTCATAGGCAGGGTTTCCTCGGTGCTCCAAAGGTGAGGCAGCCTATAAATCATTGTCAAAACACGAGACCTGATGACTACTATAGAGAATTCCCACACCTATCTTGCTTCCCGGACTTCTTGGGAGAAGCTCCAAGCCTAACAGTCCAGAGCTTCCCATTGACGTTAGCTGGCAAGCTCCCCTTCTTGACTCTTACCTACCACCTTTCCTTAGAGACAGATTGTTCACGTGGAGATTCCAAGACATCATTATCAAGTTAGCCAACTGGCTATGCTCCGGCACCACTAAAGGTGTAGACCAGTGGGTTGGCGGTCTCGACAAAGATCGATTCCATACATCTCAAAGTGGGTGATTTATCTTTTCGTGGTGCTTTAACGAATGTATAGGGCACTAAATCCGTATGCATAACTACATCTGCGCCTCGATCATAATTCCATGTATACAATCCAGCAAATTTCTACTTGACCGTGACTCGAACTCCCTTTGAGTCAAGTCGAGGAAGAGGCATCAAATAGTCATGAATCGCATCCACGTCAGATCTGTCTGAATTGAATAGCTCGAACTTGGGACCAGAAGGGCCAAATAAAGCCGCAAGCACAAAATGGAGATCAGCAAGAGCCAAACTATCGGATAAATCAGTTGGGCTTCTTAGCGCTATAACAGAAAGCTCATACCTAGAGCCAGGGCATCGACGGGAGCCTCGAGAGAATGGAACAAAGCTGCGATTCATTTCTGGCGTAACATTGTCGAGCCATCGCTCAGGTTTATACTCAAAAGGCTCAGGGAAAGCAATTGGATCAGTATGAAGATAGTAGGCGTTCATTCCAACAGGTGTCTGAGCAACAAATGTCAGCACTCACGGGATCCGAGGAGGAATCGATTTGCACTTACGCCTGGCGGGATCGTCCAATCTCTGAATTGGAGAGCTGTGTCGGGTGAAGTGCGAGGGAGTCGACGCATTGACCCATATGCCATTCTAGCGTGAGTTGCATGTTAGCATCTAATTGGCTCAGAGAACTAAGACCCCTGACGATTACATACCTCAGACTCTCTTTGATGACAGCTCCCAAGTAAGGAAGCTTCTCAAGCTCCGTAAGAGATGGCTTCTTCTGGGGATATCCCGCCATAACGGGCTTGAGCTCCTCACGGAGACGTTGACCTTTTTCTGGCATGCTGAGCATCCAGAAGCAGGTCATTGTAGCTGTCCGAGCGGTAGTAGTGGTTCCGCCACCAAGCAGTACCATTGCCTCCTTTTGCAGTCTTTCTGTGCTCAGATCCTGAGGCGCCAGGTCACTTTCGTGAATGAGGTAGCGGAAGAGGGTGGGCTTGCCGCCAATAGACTTTACGCCTTTACGATCATTTTCGAATTTCTCCTGCTTGGCTTCCTCAATCTGACGACCCGCTTGCTAAGTAGCAATTAGTTGGGACGTATGGAGAGAATGGTAATAGTACATACGATTTGAATATTCTGAAAATAAGCTGTTGATGGCGCGAACCAAATAATACAGCGCTCAAGGATAAACTGGAGAATACTGATGCCTCTTAGCATTATTTCGGTACATGAGAAGGAGGTGACTGACTGGACGAGCCATGGCAACATGCCCATGAGAGGTACGCTCAATGAGACGTTTCGAAGCATCTCAAACCTATGAATCTCAGCTTCAGCCGCCTCCAGACTCACTGTTGAAGGACATGTCATACCATTTCTCACCAAAGTCATCAGTTGCAAGAAGCGACTTGGGCTTCTCAATGCAAATATGTTGCATGACGTCGCCAGTAAAGGCCTCAAAAGCATAGTCAAGACGAACTACAACACCAGTGCCAGAGAGTTCATGGAACCTGTGGAATAACTTCTCGACACGCTCACCGATTAACTCTTCAAGCTTCAAGACACCGTTACGGGAGAAGTAGGGTTCAATTGGCTTTCTTCTTTTGCGGTGGAGGTCATGGTCCTTAGAAGCGAAGAAGGTATCTGATGGCATCAATAAATAGCTGTGGTGGTGTTACGTTAGAGAAAACGAACCTTCAATGCCAAGTCCACCACCGAATAAGTGTCCAAAGGGCATTGTATTAAAATAACTTTATTATAACTAATCTTTCGCTACCTTATAACTTAATATTCCCTAACCTTAACTAGCTAGTTTAACCTTTCTTTTAATAATATAGCTACTTTATATATATTTTCCTTTAAACCTTTACTAGTCCTTTTAACCTTTTTTCCTTTATAGCTAACTATATAGTTACTATAGATATATTCTCTTTAAAACCTTTATCTATTTAACCTTTCCTTTATAGTATATTTACCCTTCCTTTTTAAGTTACTAAGTAATTTATATTTACCTTAAAGCTATAACTATAAAGTATAAAGTAATACTAACTAAATTTAATTTACTTTTAATTTTCTAATATAATATATTTATTTAAAATACTTTCCTTAAGTAAGCTCTTTAAGCTTATCCTTTTCCTACTAAATTAAGGTTTATATACCTTG